TAAGTAAAGGAAGACACCATTCTACTTACAATATCCAGAGCAATGACTTGCTCCGGTGGTAATCAGCTATGGTGGTATAATCCCCACCTGAGATATGTAAGGTCTGGATCTGAAGCAGCAGCAGGATGTAGATGAAGAGTGGAATAAAATATGCTGGAACTAAAGCAATATTAAAATATAAGCTTTATTAGTATAAAAACAAAATAAAACAAGTATCCAAAGTCACTTTACGCGTTTCACCCAGGAATGGGCTTCTTCACAAGTGTGGATGCATCTTAAAATGTCCCAGTTTATATAGGCAGTGTATGTTAGATTAGTAGACTCCGGTGTGCTGCTTGATCCTTCCGGGTTTGTGTGCGTCTCCCGGAAATGACGCATCGTAAATCGTGTTGATTGGTTGTTTCGGGTTTGCGTGCGTCACCTGGAAATGACGTCACGCAACCATGCCTGTAGCATCATGGGAGATGTAGTTTCCCTTGCGGCTGCATCTCAATCATGATCATTCTCATCATCATCTAAGTCACAACAATAGACAATCACAGTCTGCTTAAACTAATAACACACAAAGAATGAAATGTTGCCCTGTTTTTATTGAACACACCATGTAAACATTCACAGTGCATGTGGAAAAAGTATGTGAATCCCTAGACTAATGACATCTCCAAGAGCTAATTGGAGTGAGATGTCAGCCAACTGGAGTCCAATCAATGAGATGAGATTGGAGGTGTTGGTTACAGCTGCCCTGCCCTATAAAAAACACACACCAGTTCTGGGTTTGCTTTTCACAAGAAGCATTGCCTGATGTGAATAATGCCATATCATTGCAAAGGGTTCACATACTTTTTCTTGCAACTGTAGTTCTTAGGATGCTTGATCAGCCATTTTATATGTGGACATATTAATATGAAAAAATAAAGGGTGTAAATTCCATACATAGTATATAACATAGCATGTAGTGATATTATCACAATAGATAAACAAAGTAAATTTATAATGTTAATAATATAAAGCATTTAAGCTACAATTTAATGTTTTAAAGTGCTGGAATAGTGATTATTAAAGTGTCATTTCTGGAATAATACATAATACAGTTGCAAGAAAAAGTATGTGAACCCTTTGGAATGATATGGATTCCTGCACAAATTGGTCATAAAATGTGATCTGATCATCTAAGTCACAACAATAGACAATCACAGTCTGCTTAAACTAATAACACACAAAGAATGAAATGTTTCCATGTTTTTATTGAACACACCATGTAAACATTCACAGTGCAGGTGGAAAAAGTATGTGAACCCTTGGATTTAATAACTGGTTGAACCTCCTTTGGCAGCAATAACTTCAACCAAACGTTTCCTGTAGTTGCAGATCAGAAGTGCACAACGGTCAGGAGTAATTCTTGACCATTCCTCTTTACAGAACTGTTTCAGTTCAGCAATATTCTTGGGATGTCTGGTGTGAATCGCTTTCTTGAGGTCATGCCACAGCATCTCAATCGGGTTGAGGTCAGGACTCTGACTGGGCCACTTCAGAAGGCGTATTTTCTTCTGTTTAAGCCATTCTGTTGTTGATTTACTTCTATGCTTTGGGTCATTGTCCTGTTGCAACATCCATCTTCTGTTGAGCTTCAGCTGGTAGACAGATGGCCTTAAGTTCTCCTGCAAAATGTCTTGATAAACTTGGGAATTAATTTTTGCTTCGATGATAGCAATCCGTCCAGGCCTTGATGCAGCAAAGCAGCCCCAAACCATGATGCCCCCACCACCATACTTCACAGTTGGGCTGAGGTTTTGATGTTTGTGTGCTGTGCCTTTTTTTCGCCACACATAGTGTTGTGTGTTTCTTCCAAACAACTCAACTTTGGTTTCATCTGTCCACAGAATATTTTGCCAGTACTGCTGTGGAACATCCAGGTGCTCTTGTGCAAACTGTAAATGTGCAGCAATGTTTTGTTTGGACAGCAGTGGCTTCCTCTGTGGTATCCTCCCATGAAATCCATTCTTGTTTAGTGTTTTACGTATTGTAGATTCGCTAACAGGGATGTTAGCATTTGCCAGTGACTTTTGTAAGTCTTTAGCTGACACTCTAGGATTCTTCTTCACCTCATTGAGCAGTCTGCGCTGTGCTCTTGCAGTCATCTTTACAGGACGGCCACTCCTAGGGAGAGTAGCAGCAGTGCTGAACTTTCTCCATTTATAGACAATTTGTCTTACCGTGGACTGATGAACAGCAAGGCTTTTGGAGATACTTTTATAACCCTTTCCAGCTTTATGCAAGTCAACAATTCTTAATCGTAGGTCTTCTGAGAGCTCTTTTGTGCGAGGCATCATTCACATCAGGCAATGCTTCTTGTGAAAAGCAAACCCAGAACTGGTGTGTGTTTTTTATAGGGCAGGGCAGCTGTAACCAACACCTCCAATCTCATCTCATTGATTGGACTCCAGTTGGCTGACATCTCATTCCAATTAGCTCTTGGAGATGTCATTAGTCTAGGGGTTCACATACTTTTTCCACCTGCACTGTGAATGTTTACATGGTGTGTTCAATAAAAACATGGCAACATTTCATTCTTTGTGTGTTATTAGTTTAAGTAGACAATAGACTGTGATTGTCTATTGTTGTGACTTAGATGATGATCAGATCACATTTTATGACCAATTTGTTCAGAAATCCATATCATTTCAAAGGGGTTCAGATACTTTTTCTTGCAACTGTATTTAAAAAAAGAAAAAAAAGATACATTTATAGAGAACGGATATAATTCTAAAACATTGTATGAAGTCATTAGTGCAACTTTAAATACAGATAGAAATAATTTAATCAAATGCGAAAATCCTAAAACTAACAACAAAAGAGGTTTTATGTATTAGACTATATTACGGTTTACAAGGCAAGTGTGCACCGCTGCCATTGTCTGGGCATCCCCGGGCAGGAGAGCGGCCGCCTTTCCCACCCAAAGCAGACCAGGCTGCAGCATTAACCTAGGGGCAGATGAGATGTCGCTGGCCTCCACTCCATATGTCCTATGTCGTGAGGATCCGGTAGGTCGCCAGTGGAGTCCCCAATAGAATTCTGTAATGCTGTAGGAAGCTTGTTTATGCAAGATTATGCGAGAGCTCGTGCAGAACGCGTCTCACCGCCATGAAGGTCAGACCCCACCCCTTTTGGGGTTGGTTTTGCTCTCTTTGGCTTTCACTTTCTCATTTTCTAGTTTATCCATCCTAATTGCCTTTTTGTATGCATTATTGGCTTCCTTATATCTTGTATACGATGTCTCTGATTTTCACGATTTAAATGGTTTAAAAGCCCCTTTTTTTATTTTTAATCTCTTGTTTTACTACCCACTAAGCCACATTAGTTTCAGTTTATTTTTTATCTACTACCCAACGGTACACTCTGAGAAATGGCCTTTCTAGTATTTGTTTCAAGATATTCCATTTATATGTTGTAAAGCTGCTCTAATCTTATTGAAATTGTCCTTTTTTAAAAAGTATAGTTTTAGTATATCCCATGTGCTTTTGATTTTTTGGTTTCTTTTCAAAGACACCATATTGTGATGATCACTATTTCCCAAGTGCTCCCCTACTTGAATGTTGTTTTTTTATAACCAGATCTACTGGCTCATGTCGGTTTTATATGTTTGTTTCTTTTTATTTGCTTACTCTTGCATACAGTAACTGGCTCCAGCATGGCAGACAATCTGTATTATTGGAATGGCTTGAAGGCTTTCACCTCCTGTAGAATGCATCTCAACTGCACTATTCATAGTGTAGTACTTTTTCTATGTAAAGTGACTTTTTTTCTTTTTTTTTTAAATGTCTTTTTGTTGTTTTTCTCAGTTTTTTTCTGTTTCTGCAAAGAAATGTGAAAATACATGTACTGTATGTACCATACTTGTATTGCCGCCTTGGTGTCTGAAAAAATATAAATATATTTTAAATTATGAGTACCAAAAGTGAATATGTGTAATCAATTATGGTATGTAGTACTGCTCGGGTAGTCTGTTTTAATAAGCAGCGAAAGCAGCAAGAAAAACTAATGTTAGAAAGGAAAGGAAAGGAAGGGGGTGGGGAGGTATATATAATCTACATCTCTACAAAATCCTTTGTATAGCACCTAAACCTGAGCAGAAAATGTATGAAACAGCATAAAGAAGCAAATGAGTATGGAGGAATATAGAAAAAGAATAAAATAGGTTTCCTGTTAATAACCTTAATAATCAAAAGCGAAATAAAGGAGAAAAAAATGTTAAATATCTAGCCAGAGAGTTACTCAAAATACTGAGCTAGAGGTAGGGTACAAAACCTCTAGTGACTGCTTCAGTACACCTTAAGGAGATGGGTGTACCTACATATCTGTAAAGCTAAAGAGACATAAAAACTAAAAAATAAAGGTAGAAGTACCCTATAATCAAACAATCTGAAAAGAGAATAGCAGCAAGTCACATTCTAATTGACAAACAAATCTCCCAAAATAACTCTCACTTCTAAATATAGATAATTGATCTACATAAATATGCTCATAACACTTTAATAGTGAACAACAAAGTACCACCATACCGTAACAGTAAAAACATAAAAATAAAAAACACAGGTCAGACACGCGTTTCGATACTCATCAGAGGTGACTGAGGACTAATCATCCTTGATTAACATCGTTTTTTAATTTTTTTATTTTTTTATTTAGAGGATACATACACAGGCACATTTCAAAGTGATTACATTTATGTTTTGTATATTCATTGTGCAACCTACATAAAATACAATCCAAAGAAATAGGCATTTATCCCGGAGGATTCTAAGCCAAGCCAGAACAATTGCTATCTAGGAGGGGCGTGGCCTGGACGAGCATGGTGCAGGACGCACAGTGAAGGAGCTCCGCACCCCTGGCCGAACAAACAGCTAATTTAAGCACTAAACCGGAGGGCAATGGTACGGAATAAGAAGCTCCTAACCTTGGGAACGACGGCAGCAAGCTCCCCACGCCGTGATACCGGGCCGATGGACGATTTTATTGCCACGCCGTCCGACCTCCGAGGCGCACGCCATGTGGACAAAATGGCGCCCGTGTCCCCGGACTCGGAGGGAGCGGGAGATTCACAGACGGAACCCACACAGCCCGGAGACCTGGCACAAATTAGAGCCGAGCTCACCCAGCTATCCAGAAGGATGCTAACCAGAGAGGACACAGGCTCCATAGTGCAGGAACTTAGAGCAGCACTAAGAGAACAACTGGCAGGCCTGCGAACAGACCTGACAAACCTAGAGCAGAGAGTGGATGAAATTGAGACAGTAGTGCAGGACTGTGACGATCAGCACAGAGCAACGGAGGTTGTGGTTACCAGACAAGGTAACATGCTTATCACCCTCCGGAGACAAGTGTAAGATCTGGAGAACAGAAGCAGATGCAATAATATTCACGTCCGAGGCCTGCCTAAAACAGACGCTGAGCCGCTCCAAACCACCCTGACGGCACTGTTCACACAGCTCCTGGGAGCGGAGGCCCCTGCAACGATCACTATGGAGCCTTAGGGCCGGCAAGGCAAGATGGCAGCCCCAGGGACGTGATCTGCTGCATAAGTACACAAGGCCTAAGAGATAAAATTATGGCTGCAGCGAGGGGCCTACCTTCCATTCAGTTCCGAGGAACAGACATCTCTCTATATCAAGACTTGTCTAGCCTGACGCTCGATGCGAGAAGAGCCCTGAGACCAGTCATTGGACCCTAAGAGACAAGGGGATTTCCTACTGCTGGGGCTTCCCCTTCAGCCTCCAGGAGAAACACGGGAATGCCTGGATTACAGCCCACTGGCCAGAGGACGTCACAAGATTACAGAGGACTCTAGGCTCGCCGCCGACCCGGGTACGGAATTGGATCCTGGACGAAGCCACAGCCTCGCGGAGGGACCCTCTGTTGCCACTGCGACATGCTGATACGGCACCTAGTGGATCGGCCGCACCGCGTAGACAGGGAGGGCCGGACAGCCCCGAAGAATAGCCTGCTGATGAGCTAGTCGGTTGGGGAGGGGTGAGTTGATTGGACTTACTGGGGACAGACACACACACACGGGAAGACAAGAAAGGATAAGGGGAAGACACCTATGATGCTTGGGAGGGGGGGGGGAAGGGACGGGAGGGGTCCTACATATGTGACTGGTCTGGGAGCCCTGCCTGGCCTCCGCCGACGGCATAGAGTAGATGTGAATATTCCACACGTGCACATAGTGCAAATCCTATCAGGTAGAATGGGGCCACATGAGGATAATAGGCAGAGGGGGCCAATAACGATGTAATTGCCGGAGGTTTGAGTAGGAGCAAAGGAGGGCATTCTAGGTATTTGGGTGGGGAGACGGGACTATGCATTACCCGGGGGACACTTCAGCTAAGAATGCAGACCTTTGAGGGTCACAATGGCCCTGCTGGGCTAATCGAGAACCCCGAAAAACGCCTGCACAGTACGATGCCAGAAACACTGAGCTATAAAGACACTGGCTCCATGGTAGTGGCAAACCGGGGGGGGAGGGGGGAGGGAGGAGAAAACAGGGGGTAGGAAGTGAGCACTGGTCTATGGTCCCCTGACTTTGAATGTACACAAGCAGATGTTGATGTTATTTACTGTACGATTAGCATGTTTCATTGCGAGGGGGGGGAGGGGAAACGGAACCGAACCAGGGCAGGAGACGATGTTGCCCTGGGAAGGGAGGCCACAAGCGTACTAAAAGACCCTGCACCCCGCATTCTACAGAGGTTCCATAGCCATAGATAGTGATCCGACCCTACTCACACTGTAGCAGGCTACCTTCAGACCCCCGAACCTAAGCAGATAGGACCACGGAACAAAAAGAGTCCTTACACAAAAAGACTAACAGGACGGACTTGACGATAACGAGACCACAGTCCCTTCCCGGACTCTGAGTAGATAAGTGTATTCCCTCGGACACATGGGATTCCATGGGGTGTGAGAAGCTCCCCTAACCGACCTTACATGGCCATATACGATTATAGTGATAATTAAAAGAGCCCGGCAACCACTATGCCTCCTGACATGCCTCAACACCTTTGGCCAGGGGGGTGGGCGACTGGTGATATAGACTCACACACCCGTTCAGACCCCACGAAGGTTATCGACCGCCGTGAGTAGACATACCCTCTTTAACTAACTCGACAACACCAACACAAGAAACACGCGACACGCTGCACACTAAGCACACAGGCTAGGCGCTGTGCTGGTGCTCGTTGGGACTGGTGCCCCGTGATAGACACCGCACCCAAATTGGTGGGGGGCAGGGAAGCTCCTGTTAAGTGGACCATGCGAAACCCCCACCTCCGGTGTCGAGTCACTGCGACCCAAGTTGGGTTCTAGATAAGACTCTTTACTCTTCCCTACTATCTCACCCACACCCTCCCCCCATACCCTTCCCTTCCACTTCGGGAACATGGGAACGGGATTTACTCCCGCGCCTCTCCACATCTGGTCGAATAACGCCCGGGGGCCTTAATGTGCTGGAGCAAACATCGCACCTCCTGTGCTCCCTATGGAACGAGAGGGTGGCAATAGCGTTCATACAAGAGACCCATTTCCAGGGGGACGAGGGCCCACCACTTCGAGATGCAAGATACCCGCTGGGCTTCTTTGCGAATCATCCAACAGCGAAAAGGGCAGAGGTGGCGATATTGCTTGCTCGCACTGTCCCGTTAGTTTGCACAGGGACACTAACAAACACGATGGGACGTCTCATATTCATCAAGGGCACAATAGCCGGGTGTGCCTACACCTTTGCCAGCATCTATGCCCCAAACTCGCAAAAACAACACAGATTCCTCAGGCAGACGCTAAACAAGCTGGAGAGGTTTCGAGAGGGCTTTCTGATAGCGGCCGGGGACCTGAATGTTGCCCTGGAACCAAGATCTGACACATCTAGGGGAGCGAGGGCATTCCTGCCCCACGGACTGCGGAACATCAGGGAAGGGCTGCGTGATGTAGGCCTTGTGGATGGATGGAGAGCACTCCACCCTTGCGACAAAGATTTTACCTATTACTCCACGGTACACAAACACTACAGCAGACTGGATTATGTATTTTTAGCTCAGGAGCTCCTACCCATGCTCCTCTCGGCAGAAATCCAACCCATGGGGTGGTTTGACCACTCGCCAGTATTGGTACGGATCCGATCCCCACTGTACCGCCCGAAAGACCTCCAATGGCGAATGAACGAATCCATCCTCAACGATGCACCCACAGTCGCGGACCTTCATACAGCGCTAACCACGTTTTTCGAGGAGAATGAATCCCTAGACATGCCAGCTCTCACGATGTGGGAAACACACAAGTGCGTTATTAGGGGACAGCTTATCAAAATATGCACACACACACAAAAAGAACAGAATCAACAAATAAAGGACCTGACTGCACAGATCGCAAAATTGGAAAACGACCACAAGACCACCGAATCAGACAACAACTATAAAGCCCTCCTAGACGCCAGGCGGTCCTTACAAGATATCCTACACAGGAAGCTGCAGTACACCATCCATAAATCCCAACACTTCTTTTACGAATATTCTAACACAAAGAAGCAAGGATTGCAACTTACCTACAACAACACGTCACGAACAATGTAAGCCAAGAAGTGGCAGAAGAACTAGAAGCCCCACTTACGTTGAAGGAACTACAGTCAGCACTAAAGGGCGCCAAGCTAAACAAGGCCCCGGGCCCAGATGGATTACCGGTGAGATATATCAAGGAATTTGGAGATGTCCTACTACCTAAATTACTCTCCAGCCTTAACTCTTTACTGGAGGACGGAGCCCTACCAAGAGACACGCTAACGGCCACGATCACAGTTATACCTAAAGAAGGCAAGTTCCGACCAACTGTGCGAGCTATAGACCGATCTCCCTCCTGAATGCAGATTTGAAACTCTTCACGAAGGTAATCGCAACACGTATTGGAAGGGTGTTGCCGGAGCTAGAACACCCTGACCAAGTTGGTTTTATCACAGCGAGGGAAGCGAGGGATAACACCATACGCGCCCTAAATGTCATCCATGCAGCACGACAATCCTCGCAAAAGATCCTACTCCTCTCAACGGATGCGGAGAAAGCTTTTGACAGAGTCGACTGGCGCTACATGAAGGCTACGTTGAGGACCATGGGATTTGGACCACATATGATGGAATGGATCTCTTCCCTATACGTGAACCCGACTGCACGGATACGGATAAACGGGGCTCTCTCTGAACTGGTTCACATACAAAATGGAACAAGACAGGGCTGCCCGCTCTCCCCCCTTCTGTTTGCCCTCTCCCTGGAGCCATTCCTGGTGGCGGTCAGACGGGACGGGGGAATTGAGGGACTCACTCTACATGGACGGACGCATAAGGTGGCCGCCTATGCTGACGACATGTTGTTTTTCGTAGATAACCCGATAGTGTCCCTACCGAACCTACTGAGGGCTTTTGAAGAATATGGCAGGGTATCCAACATGAAGCTAAACACGGATAAATCGGAAGTGCTCCCCATCACCATTGAAAGGGGACTGACCGACCACCTGAAGACCCAATTTGTCTTCACATGGAGCCAACACAAGATCAAATATCTAAGGATTTGGCTCTCTGCAGATTTAACCCAATTATAAGCCCACAACTTCGCACCGATGCTTCACACACTGAAAGCAGACTTGACACGTTGGGCAAGCCTCTGCGTTTCCTGGTTCGGGAGAATAAATGCAATAAAGATGAACCTCTTACCCCGACTTCTATATCTGTTTCAAACCATACCTATCAACCGAACGGCATTCTTCTTCCGAACCATGGATACAGCCATCACCCAGTTTATATGGCACTCTAAAACCCCTAGGCTGAAGAGAATACACCTCCACCAGCTGAAGGATCAGGGATGAACAGGTCTCCCCTCCATAAGAGATTACCACAGAGCGATCCACCTACAGAGGGTGGTGGACTGGCAGGTACCCAAAACCGACAAGACATGGATCAACATGGAACGGGCACTACTGGAGGGAGCGCTCCTGGCGGCAGCATGGCTTAGTGGTTCACTGAAAAGCTTGCGGACTCTGCACCACCTGCTCATAGGAGCGACACTCCGAACCTGGTACTCTATCAGGACAAAACTTCAGCTCTCCAGAAACCCCAGGACCGCTGACCCAATTACGCACAACCCGGACCTATCGGGGAACCTCACACCCCAGGATATTAAGGCATTTGGAGAGTCGGAATGGACATACATGCAACAGTGGTGTACAGGGGACTCACTGAAGCAACTCCCAGACCTGATACAGGACGCAACAACATCGGGCCTCGACAGATTCCGATACTTCCAAATTAAAAACTACTACCAGTCACACTATGGGCGCCACCTGTTCCATA